CCTTGTGTCCTAATGATAATTTTATTTGTAATAATAATCCTTGATTATTGATTGCAACATCTCCTTGAATGTTTTACAGTGCTGTCATAGAACACACCAATCGCGTCATCTTTCTTGAAGATGATGATGTAGCAGCAGTGGTGGACGGCCGTCTTTCTATCCATCGAATTAAACGAACTGCGGGAGATCACCCTGGAAGAGCTGTGCAAACCCTCCAGATGGAACTCCAGCAGATCATGAAGGGTGAAAGTTTTTGTCATGTTATAGCTTGGTGTTCTTAATGGAAAGGATACATTCTACTTACTGCCCTGTTATAGAAATCTGATAACACAATGCTGAGCGAAATCTTCCACATGATTAATGAAGGGATAACCCCAGGAAAAGGGGTGATTCTCTGGAAAAATTATCTGCTAGTTTTACAATAGTTCTCGTTCACACTAATTCGTGGTTTGTTGTTGCTAACATTAAAAAAAGAGATTGATTATTTAAATAGTATTTGATATTTTTAAGATACTTTATAAACATAGTTTCTCTTCTATTCTTTATTCCTCTCTTATTCTCAGTTTTCTCCAGTTTTCTCATATATAAAATGGGGATAATAGGACGCTACCTCATTAGGTTGTTTTGGGGATTAAGAGAGCTCATGTATGTAGGGCCCTTGATCAGTGCCTGACTCACTTAATGAGCCCCGCATAATGTTGGCTGCTATTAACCATTATGATTATTGAGATTACGGTTTTTCTCTTTTCTGGTGGGATTGTGGTGGGAATAAAAGCTAACATTTATCGTGTAACTGCCATATGTCAGGTCTTTGCTATATGGATCCACACTGCAATGCTATGAGGTAGCCGCTTTTCTTATTTTACACATTAAGGAGTTTCCCCAGAGCCACTTAGCTAGTAAAGAATAGAATCTTTATTTGAACCTCGATCTGGCTCCAAAACTTAAGCTTGTCCCACTCCCCTGTTTTGCTATAACTGCATATTTCAAGTGTGAGGTTAATAACTGTGATTTTTCCTTCTTACTCATTTTTCTTCATATAGGATAAAATGCCATATGTGAATATTGTTCTCTATTGCATGACCTTTTGTTTCTTAACCTTTAAGATTATGTTAAAGGAGGTAGACTTTTAGTTTTGTACAGATTTCTTATTCTTTGGCTTATTTTCGTTTTAATGATGTAATTTATATTACTTTAGGCAACTTCAGTTCATTTATGCAGAAGGAAATTTTTGAGCAGCCAGAATCAGTTGTGAACACAATGAGAGGAAGAGTCAACTTTGATGATTATACTGGTAATTACATGTGAATTATTTTATTATTTCGAAGTCTCCTGTGGGGTTGGCATAGACAGCCTGAAAGTTCATTGTCCTTGATAGCCTTATAGAGCAGCTCTGGCCATCAGTGAGGCCAGAAAGTCCTTCATGTATTATTCCACTGATACGAGGTATACTTAGAATAGTCAGATTCATAGAGACAAAAGGTAGATCAGTGGTTACCAGACACCAAGGAGAGGGGAG